CCTGTGCATGATAATAAACTTTTATAACCACTTTAGAGTTTTTTAACATGTTCTAAGGTTGAATCAGAACCTTGAAGGATTTGGGAAAGTGTAGCACAAACACTGTCAACTCTTATTACTGGCCGACATTAGTCTCTCTGCAGCAACTGTCTAAGAATAAAGGCCACACTGAGTCACAAATGGTAAACCAATTCAACAGTGCTGGACCAACTACCTCCTTTCTTTCAATCTAGGGAAATGAGAATGTGTCATCAAGAATACCCTGATTCTATTGTAGACAAGCAAGACGATATGAGACACTTATTAATATCAGATCATGTATGGCATACAAATTCAGCTAATTTTACAGGTTTATTTAACAGAACACTACTACACAGAACCAAAAGAAACATGATGGTGAGCAGAACTCACAAACTGTCATGGTTTATCTTATAACTGACATATAGTAGTAATAGCTCCCTCTTGAGTTACTGTACTGTCCCATAAATATGGTGGTACTAATGACTCATATATGATAATCCCCTGGCAGACAAATACCACAGCTCACCTTCAGAAATACGATCTGACAATATATCTTTTCAAATGCTGAAATTAGAATGCTTAAGTTACTGAGCATCTAAAAAAATGATTTTTGACAGATCTGGATGAATCACTCATCTAGATAAATGCATGATCGTGACTCACGTTGCAGTAACATACTAGATCCCTTCAGCATGGGGCCTTTTTACATCTAAGGATAATTTTTATGTAACAATTTATTCAAATTATTCTACCTGGAAAATGTGGTAAGTAAATCAAATATATAAAAATTTCAAAGCTTTCAAACATAATACTTTACTGTAAGAAATACAGCAAGTCTCTTTTTTAAATATCTAAAGGGGACTTTTCTAAAAATATGTAACAACACTTTTAAAATATTTTTAGGCAATGTTTTACTAACCCTTAAAGTGCAACTTCAAATTGTTTCAAAGATAAAGAAGTGACATGAACTAACTCATGTTTCTAAATAATCTCTATACAAACTGCTATTTTGATTAGTTACTACAGTAATTTCTTAAATGTATAAACAAATGGAAATGATAGAAAAATGTATTCAGTATTCCTCTTTACAGTGAATAAAATTTCTTAACTCAAATTAGCAATTTTGGAGTTCTAAGACTTTATCTTTAGACCAACAGCAGCTTAGGAAGAAGCCATCACTTGACATTAATGACTTTGCCAGTTATTATCCTATTTTGACCGTTCTCTTTTGAGGCGGTCATGGAAGGAAAATACCAGCTTCATCTGGATTCTTCTGATATACCAGATCCCTAGTACTCTAACTTTATGTCTGGTTTTGGTACAGAGGCTGTATTAGTAGCCCTAGTCATCTATCTCCTCCTGGCAATGGAAAACACCTGACCTTATTAAATCTATCAGCAGTCTTTGATAACATTACTCATGAGGTGCTGCTTACCCACCTGCAGGATCTGTCACAAATTGATGGGACTGTTCTGCAATAGTTCTGTTTATTCTTTTATAAGAAGTCTCAGAAGATGATAGTAGGTAATTATTCATCACTCTAAGGTCCCTCTTATGCAAAGTCCTAGAGGATTATACTTTGTTGCCCCTTCTGTTCTGCATATAAGAGGCTGCCAGGGAAGTTTGAATCATTTGGAGCTGCAGTGTGAACAATACATGGATAAAACTCAACTTTACATCATCTTTTTCACAAGTGCAAGATGGTGCAGTTTGCTAATCCATGTCCCTGTCTAAATCATGCAATGGTGAAGCAAAAACATACTGGCTGAAAAACAGTCTAGACAAGACAGAGTTAATGCGGTTGGCACAGAATATTATTTACAGAAGCTGACTGTAGATGTGACTGCTTTCTCTGTTGGTGTTTCACTCCATGTCAAGTTGGTTGGCATTCTGGGGAATACATTTGGACCCTGTTTTATGGCTCCAAATTCAAATGCCTTTTAAATTGACTATAATTATTTTATAATTGGATCAGAACAACTACAAAACCAAAACGCAGTCACGTTAATGCAGCGAGCTACAAGCAGTCACACTTAATTCTTGAGTCAAGCTCTTAATTCAGCTCCACTAGCAACTGAAAAGACTTTTTATTCTGCCATATAGAATGCTTCAGGCCAGGAAGATGCAGCAACCATTTTTGCCACAGATCTTAACATTCTGTACACAGTGCCCTCAGCTGATCTTGAATTTCCATGCTCTGCAAAATTGTGGTAGTTTATCTCTCATCTGCAGTTAATTACCTTTCATTGTTGCAGAATCCATTATGCAATTGTCACCACTACACTGATTCAACACCATGTATTCTTCTTAAGACTACTCTTTAAAACTACTAGGAAGCTTCAGTTTGTGTAGAACCCAGCAGAGCGAGATGACATGCACGTACTGCACTTGTGCGCCATCAATACAATAGATCCAACACTGGCTCTCAGTACTCTTCCAAGTGCATTTCAAGGTGTTGGCTTTAATCTGCACATATAAAGACCTATATTATTTGGGTCTTGACTATCTTAGATATTATTTTTCTATGTACACCATTATGATAATGGATATAAACTGAAGTGTTTTTGCTGACAGTCTCTAAATGTGCATTTCTGAAGACTGGAGGCAGAATCCCTGATGGTAGAACTTGATCCCACAGTGTGACACTGTGGCCAAAAGACCTAATGCAATTGTGAGATGCACAAATAGGGGAATCTTGAGTAGGAGTAAAGAGGTTATTTTACCTCTGCCATTGGTACTGCTGCGACCGCTGCTGGAATACTGTGTTCCATTCTGGTGCCCACAATTCAAGAAGGATGTTGATAAATTGGACAGTGTCCAGAGAAGAGCCACAAGAATGATTAAAAGAATAGAAAACATACCTTATAGTGATAAAGTCAAGGAGCTCAATCTATTTAACTTAACAAAGAAGTGTTAAGGGGTGATTTGATTATAGTCTATAAGTACCTTCATGGGGAACAAACATTTAATAATAGGCTCTTCAATCTAGCAGGGGAAGGTATGATCTAATGGCTGGTAGTTATAATTAGACAAATTCAAACCGGAAATAAGGTGTAAATTTTTAAGGGTGAGAGTAATTACCTATTGGAACAATTTACTGAGGGTCGTGGTGGGTTCTCCATCATCGACAATTTTTAAAATCAAGATTGGCTGTTTTTCTAAAAGATCTGCTCCAGGAATTATTTTTGGAAGTTCTCTGGCCTATGTTATACAGGAGGTCAGACTAGATGATCACATTGGTCCCTTCTGGCCTTAGAATCTATGAATAGCAAGCTTGTCAAGCCCACATTTTTTAACTTCTGAGAACTGTGCAAGTCCACATTTTTCAGCCAACTCTTTGCTGAATGGGTCTGAACTGAGGCAGTCTTCATTTTAACTTTCTTGTCTTTTTATTTTCTGATTTCTGAGTTACTGATTAAACTTTGCAGAAAAGAAGCAGGAAAATATAATAAAATTCAAGTTAAAAAAAAACACAGAGTCCTCATTCTAAAGCAATGTTACATACCTATCTTGCCTAATCCAGGTGAAGTTTCTTGAAGACAAATGGTGATATTCAGGATATTCCATATCAGCCCGTCCTCTAGATCTCAACCAATTAGCGGACTCTTACTTTGCGTTTTTATAATAACAAAAATAATGTAAATGTATATTAAATTGTATACATCTCTCTATAAACCTGTATGCACCACTTGTCTTCTTATATTAGAAACGTACTAAAATGTAGGGACTGTATCAGTCTTCATATGTATATACACAAACAACAGCTGGCACAATGAGGTCAGGTCCTGATTGGTACCCCTGAGTCTACTGTCAAATAAATACTAAATAATAAGATATGCAACTAGGTATGCAACTCGGTGATGTGCAAGATATGCAATTCAGTGATGTCTATGGAGATTGCACGTGCACATCTGCAGGAAGAATACAGCCCCTAAATGCAATTTTAAAAGAAGTACACTGAAGGTTGCTCTTAAAAAAAAAATTTTAATCAATTTGTAAAGAATAAAAAAAAAACCTACAGGCCTGACAGGCCTAACAGTCCAGCCTGCAGCTTGCTTTCAGTTTCGGCTTTAGCAAGAGTCACAGCATCCAGAAATAGCTGGAAATATTTCGCTTCACTACGGTACATACAGTAACTTCACCATACACTCAAGGGAAAAAGGCATTCATGTATCTACACTATTCCAATCATAAATCATGATTCTTCCCCCTCGCTCCTCCATCAGCCTATTGGTATTTTTGAAACCTTCTTTGGGTGCATCGATCTGATAAACGCCATATGGTTAAGATTCAGTCAATATGTTTTTTCTTACATTATCGTTTTCATCAGCCAAAAGCCTGCACGCCCCAGTGGCATTACAAAACCAAAGACCAAATAAACTCAACGTGTCTTCAAGCGAAGGTATCTATTACAACTGCACTTCTTTAAGTGTTTTATTAATCCACTGTTACAGAAACACAAGCAGCTTAATAAAAAGACTTAGTCTCAATATGTTACAGTTATACCAAATAACAGCACAGCTGGAACATAAGCCAGCAAAATAATTTCTCCTTTCAGCATTCCATTTTTTACTGTTTAAATGTGTGATCATTATCAATGTGATACCAAAGAAATCATCGTAATCTCCTTACAAGCATATATGATTTGAAAACTGTACAAAAAAAACAATTAAATACTTTGATCTAACATTCTATTTTAAAAAGCCTCTTATATATGTTTAAAAAGCTAGCGTTGTAAGATCCAAATGTTACTTATCACCATTTCTTATGAATCATTAATCTACTTAAGGAGACTGAAATGTACCAGAACTTTGCATATCATAATACATCCCCCTTTTCCTCCATTCTACCCCCCATCCAGTGCCACCCATATGCTCTTCCTACCAAGCCCATCCCCAAACACAAATACACTTGTTCCTGGCAAGCCAGAAATTAAGCTTATAACATAGAACACCAATAGAAGATAAAAAGTTTCTTACCTCTTCATAAAATTTCAGCTGAGGGACAGCTTCATCAATTTCATTCATACAATAATCTTTAAACAGCAAAAATCCTAAAACAAATAAAAAATACTTTAGAGAGGAAAACATGAATTAACATGGTCACTTCCAGGCAGGATGTATAGTAACCAATATTCTTTTGGAATTTTTTTGTTCCTCTGTAAGTATTGTTAATGGCTGAAGTATATCAATTACAATTATTTAATGTCTGTACAGTATTTTGAAAATGTACAGTAACATAGAAGTATTGCTATTAACTTATTCACCTGAGTTGCATTAAACATAATCCTTTTTCATTTGCTTGTAATTGTATAATATATTCACATTGTGCACTGAAATTTTTTACGCCTGGCCTCTGACCAAAGGTGAATTTTTTTCGGAAAGCTTGAATAATATCCATCTCTGAGCTTTCCACAAACGAGGAGGGAAATTATAGATACATTTTCCTGTTTCAAACCATTCAAACCACATTTTATAGTAATAACAATACCAGCACCACTTTTCTAACCTACTAATACTTAGATCTTTTTTACTCAATATTTCAAATACATTTTGTAAACAACATCGTAACATTAAATTATTTTCAAAGACACTTGTAAAGACTTGAAAACATGACTACTGCAGTCTGTCTGATGATCTGTTCCTTGATTCCCAAGATGGGATGTTGAGCAGAGTGTTTGTCACAAGCAGTGTTCAACAAACATATCATTTTTACGTATACCTGAGCTGAGATCTGCTATCCTGAACTATCTTTTTGCTCAGCTTACCATGGATCTCTCTTGCCAGCGTTAACCGTTATGACTATCTGCAAGACTCTAGGAGCTGTTAGTATGCATGCGTTCAGCTCACTCCAGCAACCAATACCTTTTTCCTTCCTTTCACTTAGTAAGTGCTCACTGAAATCATAACCAATGACAGATGTGGTCATGAAACACTAAGGTACAGTTCAACGGGCTGGGATGCAGACAGACCAGCTCAGATCAAAGCAAAAGGTCAATTCACTTGTTTGTGAAGATCAAAGTAGTATTAAGCATTAGTATGCGTTCAAAGTAATTCACTCGTATGCTAACAGAAATCAATAGAGATGTTGATTGTATTGTTTTCATCTATCTATATCCTGTACTTAATTAACCCTATATCAGAGGTTTGTGTTAGTATTAAGAAGAAAATTTACCTGATGTGTAAACTTCCTGAAAACCAATGCATGTTACCTGAATTGCTCTCACTTATCTATTTCTATAGTAACGTAATGGTAGACAATTGCATAATGTACATCACTAACTGAATTACTTATCAAAAAGAAAAGGAGTACTTGTGGCACCTTAGAGACTAACCAATTTATTTGAGCATAAGCTTTCGTGAGCTACAGCTCACTTCATCGGATGCATCACGAAAGCTTATGCTCAAATAAACTGGTTAGTCTCTAAGGTGCCACAAGTACTCCTTTTCTTTTTGCGAATACAGACTAACACGGCTGTTACTCTGAAACCTTACTTATCAAAGAAATCTTGTGAATGCTAAAGAAGGGCCTAAGGACTTTAGCCTACAAATACGAATTTCAAAGCAAGTGGTCATTGATGCAGGGACCTGAGGTCAAAGACTCAAGATGCACTCTTCATCAAAGGAAGCACCCATGTGGGCGAAGGCACCTGTCAGCGTGTCTTCTGTGAGTAGGATCTATAACTGCTGATATAAGAGAATTATCCTGTATCTCTGGACTGATTAATTCTATCACGGAGGAATACTGAGAAACTGGACAGAGATCTCTAGAGCCATTCAAGGTAACCCTGAGAGATTTATGGAAAGCAGAGATGAAGTAATCTGCTAGTTACCACTTTGGATTTACAAACTTCGACTCAGCTGTTAATATATTTTACCTGCTTTGACTTCTCAATAACTTTCATTTCTTTTCTTAGCTAATACATCTTTAGTTACTTTCCTAAAGAATTGGCTACCAGCATTGTTTTTGGCATGAGATCAAGAGCATCCATTGACTTGAGGTAAGTGATTGGCACTTTGGGTCCAGGAGTGACCTAATACATCGTGATTTTTGGTTTTAATAACCTTTCATCACAAAGTCCAGTTTGACTGGGTGATAAGATTGGCTGGAGAGCCTAAGGAAACTGTCCCTGACTCCCTGGTAAGGCTAATATTTGTTACAGACTTGGTGAAATCAAATTTATAGAATATACCACCAGTTGGGCAGCATCTGCCCTGTTTCCCGACAGTCTGACCTGAGATTGGCATGCACAGTTGTGAGCCACTCCAGACAGTGACACAGCATTAGATTGTTTTTTGTTGGTGATGGTTTTTAGTTGCCAATGTGGTGCATCTTTTACCCCCCATTGTTGTATTTTTTTATTTTATTTTATTTTTAAATTGTGACTTTATTTAGGAAGTTTTAAGAGGTTTACAAATCCTATGCGTGTAAATATGAGAGGAAATACAATATTATTACAGTGAGCTTTTGATTAGAAAAACATTATACAGTAATACAATCATTGGCTCTCCCTATTTAACAGATGTTACCAAGTTACAGAGTAAGCATCTTTACACTAACCATGATATACTGTTTCTAAAAAAGAAAAGGAGTACTTGTGGCACCTTAGAGACTAACCAATTTATTTGAGCATAAGCTTTCGTGATGCATCCGATGAAGTGAGCTGTAGCTCATGAAAGCTCATGCTCAAATAAATTGGTTAGTCTCTAAGGTGCCACAAGTACTCCTTTTCTTTTTGCGAATACAGACTAACACGGCTGTTATTCTGAAACCTGTCATATTGTTTCTAGTGGTTTAATTAAATTGAGTGAAATCTCTGATTACACATATTTAACAAACCAGGCATGTCTAGCAAATGTTACTATTAAAAAAAAAAAAACCTGGACAGGTGTGCTTGGGGTTTTTTTTTGCAGACGAATGTACTTTGACTATTGAATAAATAGTAATCAAATATCTAAGTATTTATTTGTCCTCTATCTTGCTGGGTATAGTACTGGTGCTTTAATTTTTTCATAACAAACACCTCCCATATTTTTTAACCATTTCTCTAGAGACAGACCATGTTTTTTCCAATGAGAAGCTCTCAGTAGCCTAGCAGCTACTAGCAGATGTGGGATGAATTCTTCATTTCCTTTTGTGACCATTTCTTCTAGGAAGCCCCAGGAAGGTTACCAAAGGATCATTTGGTAATAAATATCCAATAATTTGTGATAATTGGTTTTGAATTGCATCCTACTAGTCTTTAGTGACCTGGACATATCTACCATAGATGCATAAAATCTCCTCTTTCCGCACAATTTCTCCAAAATGTATTCCCATTCCATCTATCTATATTTTAACCTGAATGGCATAAGGTACCATTGAAACAGTATCTTAAAGAAATTTTCTTTTATTGTTCTACAGCCAGAATCAGGAGCCCAGAAAGGAGTTGGAGTAAGCCTGAAGAGAGAGCAAGTTTGGAGCAGAGCAAGGAACAGGCAGAAGCAAGAGCAAGACGAGGAACAGAGTTGGACCAAGAGCAAGGCTGGAGCAGGCTAAGGCTTGGGGAGGTGGGGGGTCTCTTGCCCCTGTCAGACAAGAGAGATTTCCAACCCTGGAGTGATGGTGAGCAGACTGAGCTGCTGTTCTTCCTGTGAAGTTGATATACCTGCCCTGAGAGTCACCAGACCAATTCCTGGCTTGTGGATTGGCTGCAGCCTAGCATAGGAGTGAATCACCCTACAATCACTTCTACTAAAGTTAGCTTTCTGTATAAAGCAGCTCTTCCAGGAAGTTGAGGAACACAATGGCTGACTTGAAAGTACTGGTACCATGGAAGAGTGGACAGTTAAAAGTAGTTTTGATCTCTAAATAAGTTAGAAAAGTTTCTTTGCTGAATAGCTGGCTAACCATTTGTATTTCATGGTTTTCCCAGTCTTTAAAGCTCTTTGGTTTGCAATTTGAGTTAAGATCTTGATTGGTTGCAATGGGAGTCATTGGTAAGGGAAAATAACTTATTTTTTCTCAAGTTCTATCGAAAAGCTGTAGAGCGGCATTGGGATGTGTATACATTTCTGGAGGGCATGATATTTTATAAGTCTATGATAGCCTAGTGATATCTTCACTACACAATTTTCTTGTTCAATTAAAAAAAAACAAACAAACAGTATTTGGCTGGGTTAGAGAGCCCCTAGTCCCTTACTGCTTTGAGCTTATTAGCTTGAAAGTACCACAGAACATTTGGAATAGTTAATTCATGCTCCTTCATTGGTCTGTACAAAGTATCTGCACTCTCTCTTTTTCACTCTCTTTTTATGACCTTCTTTCAGGTGCATTATTAGCTTATGTAAGCAGTTTGTGGGGAGGGAAGTGGGGGGAGGTTGTTGTTTTTTGTTTGTTTTACAAAAAACATTTTATATATTTACACTTTCTTCGTCATAACAAAAGGACAAGAACATAGAAAGAACAGTTAATTGTGGATTACCACAACTTTTATTAGCAATTGTAAAAAGACAAAATCTTTCCACATTATTCAGTGGACTAAGGTTTTTCCTTTATAGCCATAAGAGTTTAGAAGGAAATCAAGCTGGCTTTAGTGAGGTTTTTTTTCACCCAGCAAATCCAAGATAACAAAACAAAAATCTCACATAAAAACAATGAAATACAACAAACAGCTTGCTTAAAAAAAAATTAAAAAGGATCCACAGATTTATAATACAGTTCACACATTATTACACACAATGCAAAAAATAATTTTATAGAAGAACATTCTCCAAAAGCCCAGGATCAAGCTCCAGTAGAAATTAACATAAGAACAGAAAAAACATGCATGTTTAAAATTGGGTGAGTCAGCACTAAATTAAAACATGATGAGTTAATTCTCTTGGGAAAGAACAGAATTTAATCTACTTAAGAGACTGAAGTAGAAAACAGTGCTGCCCCTGGTTTAGTTTAGTTACTCTGAGTTTACCAGTTATCTAAATTATTCTTAAATTTTCAAAAGTACATAAGTGACTTAAGAGCCTACAGCCTATTTTCCAGTGACTTAAGAGCCTAAGTTTCAATGAAAGGCAA